AACACTTTAAAAAAAAAAAAAAAAAAAGGTAAAACTCCCCACTTCGCAAAAGGCAGATTTATATCCGGGAGGTGAAAGTGAGGGGCGGTACTTCCGGGTCAGGTGGGCTGGCTGCCTTGACCTTCCTCGCCGCTCAGCCATTTTGTCCCAGTCAGTCCGAGGCTGCGGCTGCAGAGGAGCTACCGAGGAGCTGCAAGAATGCTGTCTGTGCGCGTCGCCGCGGCCGTGGCCCGTGCCCTCCCTCGGCGGGCCGGGCTGGTGAGCGCGGGGCACCGGCGGGAGGAAGGTGGCCCTGTGGGGGCAGCAGCGGGTTGGTGATGGTGCGCTGGCTCGGGAGCTCTTTCTGCAAGGAGGCTGAGGGGCTGTGGCCGGCGCCGCCATCTTGCACTGCTGGCTGCTCCAGCCGGGCCTTACTCGGCCGGGCTGGCGGCGGAAGGGCCTTTGTGTTCGCCATCCGTGCGGCATGGCGCAGGGTGGTGCAGGGAAAACAGTGACCTTCGTGTTCTCCAGAGATGGGGCCTCAGGAGGATTCCGGTCTTTGGTTGAGAGCGGCTCACGCGGGGCCTTGGGTGAAGGTCAGGGCTTGGGTGCTAGATGTGTGAAGCCCGCTCGGACACGCGAGGTCCGGCCCCGCGGGGTCTCCGGGACTCCCTCGCTGAAGGTCAGAGTGAGCTGGGGAAGCCTGACATATGAAGGTCAGCGGGCCCCGGCATTGCACCTCTGCCCGAAGGTCAGTTCAGAGGAGAGCAAAACATGAAGCTGGTTTTTTGAGTACTTCGGCGACCTGTTCGTGCTGAATACTGAGACTATTGTGAAAACACAGAGCAGGTGCAAGTATGCATTTCATGTAGCGGATACCGTGACAGCAGTGAAACTGGCTTCTAAATTGTCCAAATCTAGCAGAAGGGTTTGCTCTGTGGTACTTCGACATGTTTTAAGATTACGTCCTTGTGGAATTGTTAGACAGTGATTGAGAACGCAAGGAAAATAGAACATAGGTTGGAAAATGCCTGTAAAGGTCAATGTCCTTCATTACTTATCTCGAAGTTAAGAACGTAACCCTTAAATCCTATGTAAGCGTTTTTACATTTACTTATTTTCTCCGTCGTAAAAGTAGTGTCAGTTTGAAACGTGAAATAGACTGGCCATTTTACTTCCCTAACACAACCGCTGGTAGCATATTGGGTTTCTTTTATCAAAAGGCATTGTCAACGATTTCATCCAGGTCCTATAGACACTTCAGAATGGATCGTGACCAATCACAGCATTAAAATCTGAAGGAGAAGGCGGGGTCCAGATTGATGCAGGTTTTGTTGAAGGCAGTTAAAAAAATTGCATATGCCATATCTCTTAATTTCTAGTCAAATTCCAACATTGACAGTTTTTTGTTTGCTAGTTTTTTTAAATAGGTAATTTATTGAGATTTGCTCCTTCTAGGAAGCAGTTTATATTATTGACAATTTATAGAAATCAAATGAAATAAACCTCTAAGGTCAAAATAATAGTACCTGATGCCTTTAAAGGGAAAGATACTCTGTTAACTGTTGCTTGTACTTACAGTGTACCAGAAACTGCAAATAAGTTTTTACATATCAAATGTATTTTCTCATCTTATTAATAGTCTTACAATTTTAAGTAAGATATTGTGAGTATAATTAATATTTTAGCAGGTAACTT